GGGCAGTCGCGGCTGGGAGCTCGCCCAAAGGGCAAGCGGAGAAGACGAGCTTCTTTCCACACACTGCATAAGCCGGCCACTAGGAAGACTGATGTTTTGAGAACCAAAAATCACTCTTTTCCTCCAGGAAATCTTTTCTTCTCCCTCCCACCCCTTGCTCCCTGCAGCCCCTTCCCCTCAGTCACCCAACCGCAGCAGGGTTTGTGATCAGAGATGCTCATGCGTTCACCAGCCGTCCCGGCAGTGGGGAACAGAGCTGGAGACCTGGCTGGACCTAAAACCAAAGACCCCAAACACACATAGGTCCAACCACCGCTCGAGGTCTGCGGCTGCGTTTTGCAGGATGGGGGTCATGTGCGTGTTGCATCAACCTGTGCAGCCCAGCAGGTTCCACACTCATGGCCGTGACCCCTGCATCAGTCCGAAGCATCGCTTCGTTGCTAGAAATGGCTCAGGGCAAAAAGGAGAGGATTTGCCCACCTTTCTCTTTTTGTAGGAAGATGTGCTTGGGGGCAAAGCCCGAGGAGGGCTCGGCATCCCGCTCACAGCAGGTTTGCTAGGCAGCTCAGTCCTGACGTGCTCAGCACCTCCCTTTCCCTGAGGACACCCCAGTGCGCTGCACCCCGTGCGTGAACCCACACACGCCTCAGCGGCACTGACCGGGGTGCGAGTCCCTGGATGCCTTCAGAGAGCTGACACCAAGCCAAGAGCCCTTAGGTTCAACCAAAGCACTGAAGAGCAATGCTTTACCTGCAGATCCCTCCAGCGGACCCAGAGGTGGGTCTGCTCTTCGCTGGATCCACCTGAATGTGACCAGATCAAGACCCAGTGAGAGCAGCCCAGGCTCCAAACAGCCACAGCGGAGAGCTGTGAGGGGCAGGGCAAGAGCAAGGAGGCTGTGAAAGCAGAAGAAACATCTGGGAAATGCCACTGAATGCACCCCACCACAGCTGGGCACGGCTCAGCAACCTGGTGCTCACAGGTGGTTTGCTGTAGGTGACGGGGGGAGAGGTGCAGGGCACGCTTTGATATTGGCAGCGCACGTGAACCCAGAGCATTAACTCAACTCCCGTGTGCTCTGCCCAGCGCTCCATTTGCTGCTTCATTTTACTTACGCTGCCTGCTTCACGCGAGTGCTCACATGGTCACGTCACGAGATTTATCCAGCAAGCTCCACGCTCGGTGCGGTACATCATTTCCGTGCTCGCAGGTGAGGTGTGTGGGGTTTTTGTTGCCCAAAGACAACATGGCCCTGCTTCTGTTAAAAATACAAGGAGCAAATCCCTTCTGCTGCCACCTTGCTCCAAGAACGCTCCAGCTGAGCTAGCAGAACCTCCCATAGTAATGATAAGGCATCGGTCACACAGGGTATTCATCAAAACCTCCTGAGTGCATGAACCACAGCTAGAGCTCTCCTGAGAGCCCTGCCAAACCTGTCCTAATGCCCCAAAGCATTTGGTCCCACCTGAGGTGAAGGATGTCCAGGTTGGTGTACCTGGGTTGATGGACAAGAGCTCGGACCCTCCTGTCCTGCCTGGCTGCCTTGGGCATCCCCAGCACTGCCCCAACCCAAGCACAGCCCAGAGTCCCCCCTGCTTTTCTACAGATTCATCCTCGCTGGCAAAGCAGCACTCCTCCCAGGCTCTAGGCAGACGCTGCTCCTTGTGAGAGACCACGGGTAAGGTGTTGGACCAACAACTGCTGGGAGCCAAGGGGGCCGAGGCTCCCGTTCCCCGGTCTCCCTGCTCCTGCAGCCGCAGGGCTGGAGGTAGCGATGCCTACGCCGTGTCCCGGGACACCCTCCACGCTGGCAACGTCTCCGAGCAGAGACCTGAGCTTTTCCCATGGCTCCGTGGCTCTGCCGGCGTC